CGTGTGCGGCTGCTGCGAGGTGTGCGGCGCTCCCGAGGGCGCGGCGTGCGGCCTGCAGGAGGGACCGTGCGGCGAGGGGCTGCAGTGCGTGGTGCCCTTCGGGGTGCCAGCCTCGGCCACCGTGCGGCGGCGCGCGCAGTCCGGCATCTGCGTGTGCACCAGCACCGAGCCAGTGTGCGGCAGCGACGCCAACACCTACGCTAACCTGTGCCAGCTGCGCGCCGCCAGCCGCCGCTCCGAGAGGCTGCACCAGCCGCCGGTTATCGTCCTGCAGCGCGGCGCCTGTGGCCGAGGTACTTCGCCCGCGTTCGGACCTCGGTCGGTCTCTCCTTTCCACCCCGACCCGCCTGTGCTGGTCTGGTGGAGGGGAGGGGGGTGCAGTGGAGCTCTGAAGGATGTTCAGGGCACCGCGCAGAACCGAACTCTGTGCCCAGCCCGGAGTTGGTGACACGCCTCGCGGGTGCTCCACGCGCTGTGCTCCGCAGCCTCGGGGCCGGGGCGACGAGGCTTCCAGCTAGGTGGCGGGCCGCTGGGTGTTGGGGAGCCACACAGCGCCCAGGACAGAGAGGAACGCAGACTCAAGGGGAAGAGAGTGCAGGTCTGGGAATAGTGCCTTGTGCCCAGCCGCTTTGGGGCCACAAAGTTTCATTTGTGTTGCTTTTCTTTCTGCTTCTCTGCCTCCCCCTTGAAAATGAACCACACATTCATTTTCGCACAGATCCTTTTCATGAAAACTTTAGCTTTTTGCGGGGAAGGAATAGCGTTTCCTTGCCCAGGCGGCAGTTCTCCAGGATGGTCTCCTGGGGCAGAGACCGGCTTAGTTCAGCAGTGTTGCTGCCTGTCCTGCTTCCCTGGTTTTGAGCCAGCCCTACGAAAATGAAAGTGCCTCCTTTTGAATAAATCCGGTCTGGTGCTGGCTCGTAGAATCTGCAGGGCAGAGGAGGGGTGGGTCTGGGATGAGGACACCCCCTCCCGCGCGCCTTTCTCTTCTCATGCAGCTTTGCTGTGTCAAGACCGGTGGAGGGGAGGTGGTAGTGATGGGGCAGAGGAGAATGCAGAAGTTCCTGATTCTTGGGGTCTTCTCGAGAAATGCGTCTGGCCGTCTCCACGCAGAGATGCCATGTGGGAAAACAGTGTGGAGTTCAGCCCCGGCCAGTCCAGCGGTGTGGGGAACGGCCAGCCGGGCTTGGCAGTGCGCTTGGCCTCAGCCAGGGGACTGCTGCCCAGACCCAGAGTAATCTCCTCAGTGCAGGCGGTGCCTGGAGTGAGGGATGGGGGAGCTCAGTGTAGACGGACTGCTCTGGATTTTTCTTTATGGGAATATGGTCCAGCGTTGTCGCATATGGATAGGAACATACCAGTGTGGTTTGGGCACGGATAGTATCCACTGAGGTAGGAGCACAGAGCCCAGCCTCAGCATTCAGGAAACTCAGTGTGTTGTTAGGTGTTAGGGGAGAAGAGTTTTTCTAGAGAGAAGTGATCCACGGGGCTCAGAAAGGGCAGGATGAGAAGCCGTACCTGTTGAACACAGGTCCACGGGCCAGGTGAGTTATCCAGTTTCAGTCTTTGCACCCTCAAGAGGAGGAAGTGTCTCCTCTCACCCGTTTCACAGCAAGTGTCCAAATACTGTTTGGACACAGCAGAGTCCAAATACTTGGCAGAGTCGAGTCTCCCTGTGGAGAGACACAGGTCCTTCATTGGCCAACAGGCCTACAGTAGCCCCTGGGTGCATCAGAGCCGAGACAGTCACACAAGAATGAGCATGTGAGTCCTGAAAGGAGGGAGACGGGGTGTGACACTGGTCTCATCCGTCTCCTGCTTTTACAAATATTTATTGAGCTCTGTAGCGTGTCTGGCACTGTTTGTCTGTCTGCTTGGCACTTAGGCACTGGATGGTTATGTGGGTGGGTGAGTGGATGAACGGATAGATGGATGAATGAGTGAGGAGACAGAAGGTGTTCAAGACAGTCATCCTGTCTATCTTTAGTAGAAGGAGTTGCTTTGCTATGTCGCTCATTCCCCACCCCGACTTCCTCAAGGTGTCTCTAGGGCAGAAGCCTGGGAACCAGCAGCCTTCCTTTGGCCTAAGCCCCACTCCAGCAGCTGGTGCCCAGGGCAGGCCACCTGACATTACAGCTGAATGAGAACTGGCTGCCCTCTGGTGCCAGGCGTTGGCAGGAGCGCTGTTTTGGCAGGGCGAATACGGAGGCCTTTTTGAGAGGTGCCTCAGTTAGAGTAGAGGGGGCGTGTAGAGAGGTGAGTAAAGGGGATTTGACCAAGGCGGCAGTTGGCTGAGAGCTGGGATCACACAGATCTAAGGGGGTTGCTTCTAGGCAGAGCGCAGGAAGGAGAGGTGGGTGTGCTGAGGAGCGGTCCCGGGCAGTCAGGCCACGCTTCGAGTCACGGTGGTCCCTGTTTGGAGGAAGTGTCATTATTGAAAATAAAGCATGTTTGTCTGCTGCTTAATGGAGACTTCAGAAAACGTCTGTAATCATGGTTTTGGAAATGAAAGCAAGTCATCAATTCCAGAAATCATTACAGCTGACAGTTTGGTTGGGAAACTACACAGTTATACCAGAGAACAAAGATATGTTGTCTTCTGCTCTGTCAGTCTGGAGAGTACAGAAAAAGAAAAAGCATTGCAATTAATAATAGGATCATAATGAGGGCCAACATATAGTTCATTTATTGTGTGTCTGGCGTGTAATTTTCAACTCTTTTGATCCTTCTAAAAATGCTTATGCAGTAACCTTCCTGGGTTACAGCTGCAAGACAGTCGCAGAGCGGTACCTGTTTCAGGACTTAAGCCTACACTTCTGATTCCAGAGCTCGCTTCATAAACCCCCTCTCTGCTGTTGACAGAGCAACAGAGATTATAAGCCAACTCCGGCTAAGCCACAGCTAATAGATGAAACAAACAGTGTTCCAGATGGCCATGGCCTTGCGATGAAGTGGGACGGATCCCCAATCTCATCAGCAGGCTCAGGAGTCTGAGGACAAGGTCGCCTCCAGCTGCCATTCACACAGCCCTGCCAAGGAAAAGCGAAAGAGAAGGAGGTGTCATAAAGATGTTTCCAAACCAGAGTCCCAGACCCCAAACTGCTCTCGAGGAGGGAAAGGCCCTTCCAGATTCCTGGATGTTCTAGAAGTCCAAGCAGGACTGTTTGTATTGCAGATCTGCTAAAAAAAAAAAAAAAAAATGGACAAGAAGCCAGGAAAGGGCTGAGGAGGACTCCCCAGATAGTTGAAGCCTGGTCCATTTCTCCTCTTGGCACACACTCCAGGAAATTTTACTACCCGCAAAAGAGCGGCCTCTATTAATAAGCCTGGGGGTCTCTAAGGCCCAGATGAAGTGGGGAAAAGGGGAAGGGCACTTAGCGCTCCTTACTGGAAGTTTTCAGGTCGTGGTGTCTCTTCAGAGCCCCGAAGATGGAGGCCACAGAATAGACAGTTATTTTACTTCCTGGAGGAGTAGACTTTTTTTTTCAGTTTTTATTTTTTTATTAGTACATGTTTATAGTACATAATGATTACATTCCTCGTAGTTGGACTGTTTGTGTTTTACTTCATTGGTTTTTTTATGGGCGCCTTGGGCAAGTCTTCAGTTTGTTGAGTGCCAGTGTGCTGAGCTCTGAGGAGACTGCAAGGAGCAAAACAAAGCTCCTGCTTCCAAGGAGCCAGGATGTAACACTGCCGGGTGGGGATACAGCCTTTCATTACCTATACCTGCAAATTCCTTTGTCAAGCACAGCATTTGCTGGAGTGTTTCCATGACTGGCTATTCAAGTACATCTTTTGTCACTTATAGTACGTGTGTAGTGGGTACCAGGCTTCCTCCTAGGGCATGGTGGGTGAAAAGACTTGTCTCTCCAGATTTTGGTCATTTGCAGCATGAAAACAGGAAGGTCTTTTGAGGTATTTGTAAGGCTTTTATTTACTTTGGTTCCTTTTTTTTTTTTTGCTCCTGTGGTATTATTAAAGAGTTAAAATATGAAGGCTTCATAAAATTAGTGAGTTGACAGGATCAAAAGCTCAGTGTTTGATTTAGAGAGCTGTAAAGAGGTCAGAGCTTAAAATAACTGCACTCAGAAAGTGATTACGGTGGAACCATGAGCTCACTGTGGCCAGACAGCCTCAGCACGGTGGGCTGCAACTCTGAGTCTATTTGGAGTTGTGTGATCCTGGGCAAGTTTTGTGCCTTGGATCCAGAAATCAGATTTTCCATGAGCTTATATTTCTAGTGAATAAATAGCTCTGGTCAGGCATAATGGGAAGGGGAGCTCGGGCTTGGCAGTGGTTGAGGGTTCCTTGGAAGGCCAGCTGGGGTGGTGGGGCCAGCGGGCTGACACCTGGCCTGGGCCTATTGTGTGTGTAGTTACCTGACTTGTCTGGGGATCCCCCGGAGCTCTCAGAACCTCAGCAAGGGAAGGACTGACTAAGTGACCTCCAAGGTCCATTCTAACTAGAATCGTCTGTGATGCTAGTAGCATAGTGTCTGCTGAGGTTGTGGTCACTATGCCTTTATTTTGAAGACTAGGCTGGCTGCTGTTCTTTTTCTTACATTAGGATGGTTATAGCCAAGGTTGGCATTGCGACCCATTTGAGCTTTGTTGCCTGCATCCTTGGGCTTTATGTTGGCACTGAAATCCCTGGGAAACTATGGGAGTCATACGCCCACCCCAAGGACTGAGGGCCAGTGAGTCTGGTGTCCCTTGCTCCTTCCCCTGGGGTCATGAGGCTGGGCTTCCTCTGGGTCCTCTGAAGTGAGATCTTTGCTGAGCTGTTTCCTCTTTTCCTTTTCCACATTCCCTGCCATTTAGGGGGAAAAAATAGCTGTGTGTGGTGGCACGAGCCTATAATCCCAGCTACTAGGGAGGCTGAAGCAGGAGGATTGCAAGTTTGATCCCAACCTGGGCAGCTTAGTGAGAATAAGTCTCAAAATAGAAAGAGAAAAGGGCTAGGGATATGGGGATGATGGGGTTGTAGCATTGGGTTCAATTTCCAGTACAAAAAAAACAATCAAAAAGCGAAGCCATTCTGAATGCTTTTCCTAAAGGCTCCAGGAAGTCGGAGGGAAGTTGGTGTGTTTTAGCTCTGCTTGGTGACGTGGGTCAGAACCACAGGGCGGTGTGCCTTAGGACAGAAACAAGTGGCAAGGTGTATGTGTCACTGTGGAAAGCATGCCAGGTCGAGCTTCTGGCATGAATGTCATGAGTTCCACCTCTGAATTCAGAGCACTTATTGAACAATCACTGTGTACTCAGAACTATGCTGGGTGCAGGGAATGACAAGT